ACACACACACACACACACACACACACACACACACACACACACACACACACACACACACACACACACGTACACACATGCACACACACACGTACGCACACGCACACACACACACTCCCTCACTCGTCCGCACACGCACACGCACACACACGCGCGCGCACACTCTCGCACCCCTGTGTGTTGGATCACAGTATGGAGCTGCCTGGGACAAGTACTGCAAGCGCGTTCCCTATCGCATCGTCCCATACGTCTACTGAGCACACACACATTGCACACATTGCACACATTGCACGTGCACGTGCATCTTGTAGTGGTCGTTTACTGTTCGTTGTAGAGCCAAGACACATCATGATGTGATGGTACTGGTGGTGGTGGTGGTGGTGGTGCGCCTTATCAGTAAAGCGCAACAAGAGGCAGCAAGCAAAAGAGCCCGGCCCTTGTCGTCCAATAGCCACACACACACACACACACACACACACACACACACACACACACACACACACACACACACACACACACACACACACACACACACAAGTGACGCCTTGAAATCATCACGCATTCATTACACTCTGCCACGCGCAAGGGGGTGGTGTATATGTGCATGTATACAGTGCAATGCGATCCACGTCGTGAGCTGCCGTGAGCTAGGGGTCGCTACGCCTCAACGACGCACGCAGGTTCACCTGCGGCTGGGGCGAGATGAGGTGCGCCCGTGCATGCTCAAACCCGCGCACGCAGTGCCTTGAGAGCGCCATGGAGTCAGCAACTGGGTGCCGTTCTGCAAACCGCTCACGACCTGGCAAGATGGGAACACCACCCTCAGTGCCGTCGACGTACTGGTGCGGAACGCTGACTTTGAGGAAGTGTGCTTTGGCGGGCCCCAGGTCTTCGCACGGATAGTCGTCCCTCATCTTCTCCGGGAACAGACGCTCGTTGATGCGGTAGACGGGCCCGTGCGTCGATGGCTCATCTGTCTCTGCTGTGGCAGTGCCTCGAAGCCCTTCATCTTTCACCAGCTGCGCAATTAGGTCGTCTTCAGCTGTGGTGGGTGGCGCGTGGCACTCTTCGTAGTGCACCTTGCGGAAGGTGGCGAGGTCCTCGAAGAAGCTGTCCGGCTCGGAAACCAGCGGGTTCGTGTTGTCCAACATGCCTGCGATCCAGTCGTAGCCAAGCAGGCGATGGCTCACAGCATCGTGAAGTCCAAACGGGCGCCCCACTTGAAGCAGTGTCGATGTGTCTGGCAGGTGGCTGGATGCAGCGGCAGTGGCTGTGGGTGCCCGCGCCCGTGGCATGTCTTCTTCCTCCTCCCATCCTGCTCTGTCCTTGTTCTCCTTTCCTTGCTTTCTTTGGCTACCCCCATCACCAGTACTGCCCCTGCTATTTGCAGTGTCATGCTTGCTGCTTCTGCTGCGTGTTTGTTGCCTGGCTGCTTTTTTGTCGGTGCTGCTGGTGCTTGGTGCTGTTGTTGTTGTTGTTGTTGTGTTGCTGCGGCTGCTGCTACTCACGGTGGTCTCTGTCGCGCAATCACCGCACGCTTCATCCTGCAACACAGGCTGCTGGTGGTGATGCTGCTTCTCGTGGTGGCTAGAGTGACGGTGTTGGTGGTGATAGTGGTAGTGCTCGTGCACTGCTGATTCGCTGGCATCGCTTCCGTCGCTCGTGTCAGGCCGGCCCGAGTCGTAGTGGACCAGTTGGTTCATCTTTGTTGTTGTGTGGGTTTGAAATTTTCGCGTTTGTTGGCCATTGGTGAATGGTTCCATGTAATTATCTACATTCGGAGGAGTGTTGCTTGAAGCTCTTCTTGTCTGACAAACGACTGTCGTGTTCTGTTTACTGTATTGTTTTCTTTTGTTGTAGTCGGATTGGTGGTGCACACGCAGACACACACACACACGCAAACACACACACACACACACGCAGACGCACGTACGCACGTACGCACACACACACGCACGTACGCACACACACACATATACTGTCTCTCTTCGTTGGTGGTCATCAGCCTTGCTTGTTTCACTTATTCTTTTCTTTTAGGTGACGATTTTTATTCAAGTGTTCAAATGCCCTCTTTGTTGCTGATGGGTCTCGATCGCGGCCACACACGTTCTTGTCGTCAAACAACGACACCTGCCTGCCCTTCAGCCCTTCCGCCGCAGGACGAGCTTCTCGTTCGAAGACATGCCCAACACCTTGATATCTGGTGCCGGCGCAGCAACAGCAGCACCGCTGCATGCTTTGGAGGATCCAGTGTCTTGTTCTCTTGTTGCTCCTGTTCCAGCAGCGTCGTGACGACGATCTCCTGTACTTTGTGTGCCACGAGGCTGGTTTGAGCCACTCGTTGGCCATGGCCGTTCGTTCAAAACACGTGCTCGCCATCCGCGCACACACAGAGTACTAGTTGTTGATGGTGCCAGGTCGCGACTGCTGGTGAAGATCATGCTGCTGGCGCTGTCCAGAGGTCCGCTTTGTATCTCCTCCATCTCCATCGGCCGCAGCTCGCCCAGCAGCTCGTCCACGATGTGTGTGTGTGTGTGTGTGTGTGTGTGTGTGTGTGTGTGTATGTGTGCTGAAGACAGGAAGACTGAGCCGACTGTCAACAACAGTGAACCGGTTGTCAATGGCGATTTGCGCACGATTTCAATTAATAATCAAGGGAGGAGTTGACCTTGAAGCCATTAGAACTCATACACGCATATGACACACAGACACACAGACACAGACAC